GTAGGAGTGAGGGGTGCAAGCTCTGGGAGGGAGTCTGGGTGCAGGAGGGGCCTCCAACTGGGGCAGACTGTTGGAGAGCAGGAGAGGGTGAGGGCCCTGGGAGGGAGTTTGGTGCAGGAGGGGGCTCTGGGCTGGGGCAGAGTGTTGGGATGCAGGAGAGGGTGAGGGGTATGGGCTCCGGCCAGAAGGCACTTACCACAGACAGCTCCTGGTCAACTGCCTGCCCTGGCTCCATGCCGCTCCCGGAAGCGGCTGGCTGCTGGCACATCTCTGAGACCTCTGGGGGGGAAGGGAGCAGCGGGTCTTTGTGAGCTGCCTGCGCACGCCACCCCCGCAACTCCCATTGGCTGGTTCCCCATGGCCGCAGAGATGTGCCAGCAGTCAGCTGCTTCCAAGAGTGGCATGGGGCCAGGGCAGGCAGGCAGTCTGCCTAAGCCCCGCTGCGCCACCGGACTTTTAGCGGCCTGGAGATCACGATCAACTGGCAGAGGCTCCAGGATCAACCAGTTGATCATGATCGATGGGTTGGTGACCACTAGCCTAGACGATCCTTCTGTAAGGTGAGAGCACAACAGTTTGGAAAACCATACTCAGAAAGTAGTTATCAATGGTTTACAGTTAAGCTGAAAGGGCATATTGAGTGGAGTCCTGCAGGGATCTTTCCTGTGTCTGGTTCTATTCAATAACTTCATAAATGATTTGGATCATGGCATAGAGAGTACACTTATAAAGTTTGCAGACAACACTAAGCTGGGAAAGGTTGCAAGTGCTTTGTGGGGACAGGATTAGAATTCAAAATGATCTTGACAAACTAGAATAATGGGAATTAAATAGGATGAAATAGGACAAATGCAAAGTACTACACGTAGGAAGGAATAATCAATTTCACAAATACAAAATGGGAAATGACTGTCTAGGAAGGAGTACTGCAGCAAAGGATCCGGGGGTCATAGTAGATCACAAACTAAATATGGGTCAACAATGTAATACTGTTGCAAAAAAAGCAAACATTCTAGGATGTATTAGCAGGAATGTTGTAAGCAAGATATGCGAAATAATACTTTCACTCTACTCAGCACTGATAAGACCTCAACTGGAGTATTATGTCCAGTTCTGGGCACCACACCTCAGGAAAGATGTGGACAAATTGGAGAAAGTCCAGAGAAGAGCAACAAAAATGATTAAAGGTCTAGAAAACACGACCTATGAGGGAAGATTGAAAAAATTGGGTTTGTTTAGTCCGGAGAAGAGAAGACTGAGGGGGGGCATGATAAAAGGTTTTTACAAGAAGGAGGGAGAAAATTGTTCTCCTTAACCTCTGAGGATAGGACAAGAAATAATGGGCTTAAATTGCAGCAAGGGCAGTTTAGGGTAGACATTAGGAAAACCTTCCTAACTGTAAGGGTATTTAATTACCTCGGGAGTGTGTGGAATCTCCGTCACTGGCGGTTTTTAAGAACAGGCTAGACAAACATCCATCAGGATGGTCTAGATAATGCTTAGTTCTGCCTCAGTGCAGGGGACTGGACTAAATGACCTATCGAGATCCCTTCCATTCCTATTTTTCTATGATTCACACATGTTCACCATGGGAAAATTAATGAGTAATTAATCAATAAATTACATAACTCCAAAGCGGAAAAGTACTAACATTAAAAGTAATTTATTAAAAACTAGGAGTTGATAACCAGTAAGAACCTAAAATACTGCTATATCTTTTGGAGATCTGATAACACTGCACCTTGCCACATACCAAAGATGCTAAAGATGTCTAAAAATTATAAATGTCATGAAGCAGAAAGCAACTGTTGAAATGCTGAAGGAACATAAGCAGCTCATAAAAAACTGGAGCACTGACTGCATCTTGCTTGTCACTATTCAAGTTCATTAACTGACTGATCCTGTTTCACTGAAATCCATTGAAACTTTATCATTGACTTCAAACAGATACAAGATCAAGTCCCAGGTCACCAAATGGTATAAAAAAATCCAGTCACTATAAGCAAGCAACACAGCACACAGGGTGACGAGGATGGGAGATGTTATCCTATTTCAGTACACCAGATTTAGTGCCAAGTAAGGACACAATTAAGAAAATAGGCATAGCAAACGGGCATGGCCAATAAGAAATTGGACAAGCCCACATTCAGTAGCACAACAAAAGTGCAAGACATAACAGAAGTAAGAAAGCTGCACCATGAGAAAAGAGACAGCAACAGCTCCACTGTACTGGACAGACCTGATGAGCTGGACAGTCCTGATGTGCCATCCTGCTCTGTGGCAGTATGATTCGCATTGCACAGGACTCACCTGCTGGCATGCCTGCGTAGATGCTACTGTTTAGTCTTTCAATGGATAAGGAAGATTTACCCCTACATTTCTTAGCCATTTTCCTTTATCCTTCTCAGAATATCAAGAGTGTTAATGATTACTTGACAAATGTCAGGATTTAAGTGAAAGATTTTTTGGGGAAGTTATACAAACTACAAAGGAGGATTCTTGGGGTATACTATTATATCACTTCAGATTAAGTATTAAGTCCCCAAACTACTCTAGGAGGAAAGAACTGCAGTGCCATTATACTGGGGGGGCGGGGGGGGGGGAGAGGAATTTCTGTCCTGCGGGTAATTTCAAGATTTCAAAATTTTGTTTAATCCCAAACTGAGAAGAAAAACTTAAATCTTGGCATTTTCATTAAATGTTTCTTCTTTGTCATATTGACTATTATATTCTAATTTATAATATAACAAAAGTTCAAACACATGTTTCAGTTTCATTGAATCAATATTTTCCAATGGAAAACTGTTCCAATGGAATATTTTCAATCAGCTCCAATATTAACAAATGTTACATATTCTGATGCTATTTTAAAACATGTCCTTATTCTGGGGGGGGGGGGGGAGAGAACATCAACAGCAGCTGCCCTTTCATACAGTAGATTTCATACTCAAAAAAAATAAAACAAAAAAACCCAAACAACTTGTTACTGAATACTTGATGTAGTTGAAAGACAGCCACCTATTTTAGCTTATCTAAAATGTTATATGTAAATATGCTCTCCAAGAAAGCCTAAGATATTAAGCTCAAGATATACTCTTGCCTAAAATATACAGACATACATGGCCAAATTTTCATGTGTTACAAAATTGAGAGGAGAATTTGACCCATGTGTATGCAGTAGCAGCTGTACAGTGGTCTAACGGTTTTATGTGACCTTGAAGAAATTCATCTCCGTGATCCCCACAGTTGCCTTGTGAAAAGCCTGTGAATTTCCCAAGAAGAATGAAATAATCTGCCTAAAACAGGGGTAAACAAATATCTGAAATTGCCTTAGTAAATTGAACATTTTGTACATTAAACTTAACTAGATTGTAATACAATATGATGCTCACCCCTTTTAAATTACATTTTGAAGATGATTTCTGTAGTTAAAAGATTGCAGACAAAATTTTCAGAAGTACCTATGTGACTTAGGAGACATCCCCATTTTCAAAAGTGACTTAGGCACTTCAGAATCTATGACTCATTGGATCTCGAAATCACTTAGGCACTTTTGCACTGTGTCTTTTTAAAGAGTGTTCAGGAAATTGGAATTTTGCTACTTCTACAGGATGTCCATTGTTCATAACATTTATTTTTCTGTACGTTATTCCATTTTTAAAATGTTACTGTTTTCTGGAGGAAAGCATAGGAAAAAGGTTTATTATTTTGTATAGATAGAAGTGTGTAGTAGATACTTTTGTGCCAGTAGATTACGTCTATAATCTAGATCAGTGGTTCTCAACCAGGGTTAACCAAACTTCTGGGGCTACGCAGAGGTCTTCCAAGGGTACATGAACTCATCTAGATATTTGTCTAGTTTTACAATAGGCTACATAAAAAGCACTAGCGAAGTCAATACAAACTTAAATTTCATACAATCACTTGTTTATACTGCTGTATATATTATACACTGAAATGTAAGTACAATATTTATTTCCAGTTGATTTTATAATTATATGGTAAAAATGAGAAAGTAAGCAATTTTTCAGTATTAGTGTGCAGTGACACTTTGTATTTTTATGTCCGATTTTGTAAGCAAGTAGTTTTTAAGTGAGGGGAAACTTGGGCGTACAAGACAAATCAGGCTCCTTAAAGGAGTACAGTAGTCTGGAAAGGTTGAGAGCCACTGATCTAGATGATACTGTATTGCACTCCTGTGGATTAGGAACATGATAATAGAAACAGCTGCAAAAGGTCTGGCAGAAAAAGATTGTAAGAATATTCTATTGCAGAGGTTCTCAAACTGTGGTCCGTGGACCACTGCTCCATTCAGGTGGTCTGTGGATAGTTCCCTCTAAGGTGCCCACCTGGGCGGCTGCACATGAGAGAATGAAGGGCCACGCAACTAATTAGTGGAGCCGCGCAGGCGTGGCTCCACTAATTAGGTGCCTGGACCCAGGAGAAGACGCACATGTAAGGTGAGGTGGTGGCCTTGGGGGGAATAGGGGGTAGGTGGGAGGGGACAGTGGGGTGAGAAGAGGGGGTGCGGGGAATTTGGGACGTGCAGGGCTGCGGTGGCCAGAGAAAGAGGCAACTTCCCCCAGCTCCAGGGCTGCAGCTGCCAGGGAGAGATGGCCTTCCTTCCCAGCTCCAGCTCAGGGACTGCCGCGGCAGGGGAGAGAGGGAGAGCCCCCCCATCCTTCACAGCCCCAGCTCGGGGGCTGCCACTGCGGGGGAGAAAGGGCACATCCATCACATTAGAAAGGTAAGACTACTGATATTAAAATATGAGTTGTGTGCTTTTATTTGCAGAACAAAAAATGTTCATTATTAAGTTTTTTTTATATTGCGCTTTTATCCAAAGTGCTTTACAATAGTTAGCTAATGGTACAAACAACATTTGGAAAGATCATTAAGTCGTCCACCGAGACCCTCAGCAATTTTCAAGTGGTCCGCAAAAAAAGGTTTGAGAACCACTGCTCTATAGCTTACAGATTTTAAGATAGAAAGATAAATACCTGTGCAAGAATGGGGAATCCAAGGTTCCTACATCCATTGCAGGGTGTTAGTGCCTCCCATAAACCTGCAGGACCACAACTGTTTTCCCGGGCATCTTCCTCTTCCTCCTCCCCTGGTGAGAGGTTTGTTGATGAAGGCCTCTGTGGAAAATTAAGTTTACTAGAACATTATGCAGAAACATTTTGCTTTATTTTACCATAGTTAAAAACGCTAAGATTGATTGAGAAACTTCACATTTCCAGAAACTGATAAATATACTGCATTTTCAACTTAATATAGTGCATCTATTCAATCAATAATCAGTAAAACATAGTATATTACCTAAAGAAAAAAAGATATGTGATGAGCTACAGTAAGCTATATTTTAAATAGGAGTTCAGAGACAGAGACTCTTATTACTCACCTTCAGTCTACAAATATTCAGATTATGTATAATGTACAGCACCAGACACCCTGCAACTTTTCAATTGAAAAATAAAGTATATTTTAATTTAAATTTTAGCTTTTACATTACTATTTTTCACTATAGCCTGCAGAGAATGAAAACTAACATTATTAAATTTTTACTGCTCTTAGAAATTGTACAGTAGATAGAATATTGCAGAAACACCACAAGATAATGGGATCTTGTTTCTATAGCCAAATATTAAATATATATAACTACAACCATTTTAGCTTGGATTGGCCAGTGGCTTTTGCAGAGAAGTAGTAGAAATTTAATAACAATTTAGGATTTCATTTTTAGTTTGATGTTTACCAATGATGAAAAATGGTAACTTGTTATGTATGGTAAACAATACTTATTGATTTTTCATTTTAAAAAAACCTGCTATGTTTGTTTGCCCTAAACAGCAAGGGCAAGGGGTTTCAGGGAAAGTGATTCTATTTTACCATTTTGTTTCCTGCTTCAACTCCTTGTTGCACACAGAGTCAAAATTATGCCTATTGTGGAGCCACTGAGGATATTTGTAACACATTGTATGTTTTCATTTTAAACGCTGTCATGATTCTATAATGGTTGTTGTGAGAAAAGGTGGGCATTTTTCTATTTACACAGATCATCCCCCTTTTCTTGATTGTGATCCTACCTCCTGCCCACTTCCTTAGTAAGGGGTTGTAGGGTAGATTTTCAAAGTTATACTGTGTTAGCCTACCTTTGATCCCACTGAAGTGAATCACAGTTTTATCATTTATTTCAGTAGATGATATAGGTCAATGCTGAACACTTCTGAAAAATCCCACCCTTAGAACAAAGTTACACTAAATAAAGTTGTAAGGGCTTATCTAGACTACTGCTAAAGTTGATGTAACTTGAAACCCTCCCCCCCAAGCAACATAAGTACATTGATTTAAAGCAGTGTCTACACTGCGCTATGTCAGTGAGAAACGCTCTCCCACCAACATAGCTTCGGCCTCTTGTTGAGGTGGAGTAATTACATTGACAGGAGAGCACTCTCCTGTCAACATAGTGCGTCTTCACCAGATATGCTACATCAGCCACAGCTGCATCAGTGCAGCTGTGCCAATGTAGTACGATAGTGAAGACAAGCCCTAAATTACACTTCCATCTTAATTCCATGCCCCATGTGGTTATTTTGCTCATGTCTAACTCACATGTATAGAATACCTGGCCCCTGGACCAGTTCCAGCGTGCAGGATATGTTTATGTGGCCCCACTAACATTCAGATTATAAACTTTCATTTAGCAGAAAAAAGTTTGGAGCTCTCACGTTTGCAAAAATACTTTCCAAATGTGAGTTGGACCAGAGTGTAAACCAATGTAAGTCTGTCTGCCTGAGTCTGCAAGCAGCTTGAGACAATGACTGACAAGTATGGCTTCCCACACCCCCACATGATATCAACTCTAAAGGTGAGAGATGATACAAATCTCAACATTGACAAGTTCACTGAAGATCATTTGAGCAGACAGAAAGGGGAAATGGGTGGGACTTGCTCTCTGGAAGAAAATGCAGAGGGATCACTGACAAAAAGCAAGAGAAAGAATGGAGGAAAAAAAGAAACAGGACAGAAATAGCAGTAGTTCTGATGATGAACTTATTTTTCCCACTGACTGATATTGAGTATCAATAAGGAACTGTAACAATATATGTCATACAGTAAGTAAAAATTTAGTTAAGTATCATTCAACCTTTGCTTTATATGCTAACCTCCCAAAAACACAAATGGGAGTTCCACTGTAGCCTAAAGAGAGTGAGGGTATGTCTACACTACGAGAGTAGTTCGATTTTACTTAAATCGAATATGTGGAATCGATATTACAAAGTCGAACGTGTGTGTCCACACTAAGGACAGTAATTCGACTTTGTGAGTCCACACTAACGGGGCAAGCATCGACATTGGAAGCGGTGCACTGTGGGCAGCTATCCCACAGTTCCCGCAGTCCCCGCTGCCCATTGGAATTCTGGGTTGAGCAGCCAATGCCTTCTGGGTAAAAAAATGTGTCGAGGGTGCTTTTGGGTAACTGTCGTCATCCGACCGTCACTCCCGCCCTCCCTCCCTGAAAGCGCCGGCGGGAAATCAGTTCGCGCACTTTTCTGGTCAGTCACAGCGCGGACACCACAGCACTGCGAGCATGGAGCCCGCTGCGACCATCGCTGCAGTTATGGCCGTTGTCAACACCTCGCACCTTATCATCCACCTTTCCCAGAGGCAGATGCTGAGAAATCGGGCGAGGAGGCTATGGCAGCGCGGTGAGGACCTGAAGTCTGAGAGTGGCACAGACCTGTCAGAAAGCATGGTACCCCGCGCCGAGGACATCATGGTGGCAATGGGTCATGTTGATGTTGTGGAATGGCGATTCTGGGCCTGGGAAACAAGCACGGACTGGTGGGACCGCATAGTGCTGCAGGTCTGGGATGAATCACAGTGGCTGCGAAACTTTCGCATGCGGAAGGGGACTTTTTTGGAACTTTGTGAGTTGCTGTCCCCTGCCCTGAAGCACAATGACACCCGGATGCGAGCAGCCCTGAGTGTCCAGAAGCGAGTGGCCATAGCCCTCTGGAAGCTTGCAACGCCAGACAGCTACCGGTCAGTCGCGAACCACTTTGGCGTGGGCAAATCTACTGTGGGGGTTGTTGTCATGCAAGTAGCCAACGCAATCGTTGAGCTACTGCTCTCAAAGGTAGTGACCCTGGGAAATGTGCAGGTCATCATAGATGGCTTCGCCGCGATGGGATTCCCAAACTACGGTGGGGCTATAGATGGAACTCACATCCCTATCCTGGGACCGGACCACCAGGCCAGCCAGTACATTAACCGAAAGGGCTACTTTTCAATGGTGCTGCAAGCACTGGTGGACCATAGGGGACGTTTTACAAACATCAACGTCGGATGGCCGGGCAAGGTTTATGACGCTCGTGTTTTCAGGAACTCTGGTCTGTTTAGACGGCTGCAGGAAGGTATTTACTTCCCGGACCACAAAATAACTGTTGGGGATGTGGAGATGCCTATAGTCATCCTCGGGGACCCAGCCTACCCGCTAATGCCCTGGCTCATGAAGCCCTATACTGGCGCCCTGGACACTGAAAAAGAACTCTTCAACTACCGGCTGAGCAAGTGCAGAATGGTGGTGGAGTGTGCTTTTGGCCGTCTCAAGGGGAGATGGAGAACCTTACTGACTCGCTGTGATCTCAGCGAAACCAATATCCCCATTGTTATTGCAGCTTGCTGTGTGCTCCACAATCTCTGTGAGAGCAAGGGGGAGACCTTTATGGCGGGGTGGGAGGTTGAGGCAAATAGCCTGGCTGCTGATTACGCCCAGCCAGACAGCCGGGCGATTAGAAGAGCCCAGCGGGACGCGCTGTGCATCCGGGAGGCTCTGAAAGCTAGGTTCCTGAGTGAGCAGGGTAACCAGTGACTTTTCAGTTTGTGTACAGAGAAGCTGAACCTGCCCCCGTTTCTTTACCCACTAAATATTCAGTATCCTCTCCAGTTACATACCCCGTTCCCCCCCTCCAACACACGTGTAAAAATAAAATCACTTGAATTTTGTTAATGAACACCGTTTTCTTTATTACTGTTTTCGTGGGAAAGTGTTGAACCTGGGACGCAGACTGTGGTGGGGAGCGGGTGTAGTGTAGTGATGCAAAGGATGCTTCTAAACTCTGTGTGTGGGGGCTATGTGACTTTGTGGCAGGGGGAGGACGGTTACAGATCCCCTGCTGCGTGGCTCTGTGATCCAGGATAAGGATCTCTAACTGCCCTCCGCCACAAAGTCACAGAGCCTGTCCCCCCCCACACAGAACATGAAAACCACCTCCCAGACTGACCAGGGTAACTAGTGACTGCAATGTGCCCTGCTGCTGAACCTGCCCCCACTTCTGTACCCTGGTAAAGGTGACTGTCCTGTCCAATTACCAACCCCCTTCCCCCCCTTCAGACAGACTCTCCTCTAAAAGAACATGATGGAAACAGTAATTAACAGAAACATATTTTTTATTAGCAACTACACATAAAACTGGGGGATGAAACTTGGACGAGGGCTTCGGTGAGGCGGGAAGGAAAGGACTTATCAAATTTTGGGGAATGAGAGCCTTCTGGTACTTGAGCAGTCTGCAGGGGTGGAGTGAGAGTTTTCACGGACTCTGCCGCCCCTCCTTCTTGGGACTTTGGGTGAGGGGGGTATGGGACTTGGTGGCGGGGGAGGGCGGTTACAGATATACTGCAGTGGGGCTCTGTCCTCCTGCCTCCGGTCCTGCAGAACATCCACAAGGCGCCGGAGCGTGTCCGTTTGCTCCCTCATTAGTCCAAGCAGCATTTGAGTCGCCTGCTGGTCTTCCTGCCGCCACTTCTCCTCCCGTTCCATGTCTGATCGGTGCATTTGGGACAAGTTCTCCCTCCACTGGGTCTGCTGGGCTGTCTGGGCTCGGGAGCAGCCCATAAGTTCCGAGAACATGTCCTCCCGTGTCCTCTTCTTCCTACGCCTAATCTGCGCTAGCCTCTGGGAGTGTGATGCCAGGCTAGGTCGGGAGACAGTCGCAGCTGTGGGATGGGAAAAAGGGAGTGAATTCCTCAGAAAGATAAATTTTTGGGTGAACAAAGAACATAGTCTTTCTCTGTGAACTAGACCATGCACAGCACCTATCACATGCGCACTCAGGACAAGGTTGAATTTTCGACC